ACAATGAAAATAACAAAAATATTCATCATCCTTATCGACCATTAAGTCTATTGATTATTCATAATAAACACTGTCCAATTGTCAAATGCCTTCTATTTGCATAACCCAAAATGAAATCTATGATATACAAACAGTGAACTATTTATTTATTTATTTATTATTTTCACTAAGATACATTTGATCCAATCATATATGTATATTCTTTGTAAAAACTCATTTAAACCTTTACTTTTGACTGTTCCTCATCACTTTACTTTTAAAATTGTATTTCCCTATGAATATAGAGCAAAACAATGTTGTTGTCGGTTTCTACTGACATTTCGCTATTTAATATACTACTGATATACATATACTACTGATATCAAAGTAATAGTGAGATGGAATTTACACAGAATCTCAGCCTACGGACATGATAACTCGATCACATGACATGATACTGCATAATACTGACAGATTAAATGATATGCCAGCCAGATTGGAGTGATTTAAACACCGAACGGTAGTTTGAGGCCAACCGCATTATCAGTTGTGTACGCTCCCCCCCTCCGCGTTCGACTCATCTCAGAGAACCAAATCGGTTCAAACCACTCGATTTGTGATTAGCCACTTGAGTGAATTAATGTGTTAACTATGCCTAGTCATTGCCTTCCTTGACAGGCAATGTTAGCTGACATAGGGTCACGTTGGAAAAGAGCTAGCGGCGGTCAAACTAAAACATGGCTTCAACAGTCAATGAAATCCATGTAGAAAGGTCTAGACTTCCTGGTTGGGGTCCTCGGGACGGTAAACACCAGTGGCTGAGGACAGTCGGTGATATGGCTCAAAATTCTCGTTGTCAATGGCTGGCGCAGATGCATCCACTCCTTGTGACTTATAATACCCAATAAAACTATATTGTTCTTCAATATTACAATTCTTTTTGTCTCATATCTCTGTTTACTGTCTCTATTTTGCATTTATTCTACTTTCTTCTCTTGCTTTGTATACCACATGGAGTGTGGCGACTTGAACTGCTGCACATCAGTGCAAAGTTCCATGTTGAAAACAGACAGACACAATTCGCGATTTGCAATTTAAACAGTACACGGGGAAATTTCATTAGTTTCTTATGGAAACCAAAATTACTCAGAAAACACATATAGTATGTTTTTGATTTAGGTGTGTTCTCTAAACTGTTTGATTCAATTGCAAGGCTTTCGTTGTCCTTCTAAGACAACATCCTCAGAGGAAGCTTTAATAATAAAGTGAATTCATATGAATTCTCTGTGTGAATGATATAATTATATCTCAACTGACTACCATTACTGTGATTGGTTGTTAATTTACATCTTTGATTGCACGCAGGATTACATCATGAGCGGACATCTGTAAGAGAACCATTGGAAAACCTGTGAGAACTGGACAGCTGTTTCTTACCTCCTAGTCTGGGACTCTTTAGCAGTACGCACCCACCGCCAGAGTTCGAACCCAGGACCTTCTGGTTACAAGGCGAGCTCGTAGACCATTAAGCCACTGAGACCCGATCCAGTGGCCAGTCCATGAATTCTAACTTCTACCAATTCACGACATAGCGCGACCACTTTGTAATGTCTTCTGAGATGAGTTACTGCCTCACCTTCAACCTGATGCACTCTACTGGTCACGGCTTCCCACTAGAACCCCAGGTTAACTGCCTGAATATGACCAGTCGCTAGTGAGCATCAGATTAATTTTACAAGTATTGGTTTTGTAGGGAATTTTGTTTGATTGGTTGGAGGATTTCATCATCAGCTGACATCAGTTAGAAAACCACTGGGAAACCTAACAGTAACTCATCGAAGAAAACATTGCGAAATGGTCACCCAATGTCGTGAATTGGCAGAAGTTGGAATTCAAGGACCATTGGATTGGGTCTCAGTGGCTTAATGGTCTACGAGCTCGCCTTGTAACCAGAAGGTCCTCGGTTCGAACTCTAGCGGTGGATGCGTACAGCCGAAGAGTCCCAAACTAGGATGAAACAGCTGTCCAGTACTCCCAGGTTTTTCAGTGGTTCTCTAACTGATGTCAGCTCATGATGAAATCCTCCATGCAATCAAACAAAATAACTACAAAACCAACACTTGAAAATTTACATCTTTATTGATAATTTTTGTTGACTTGGAATTTGAACTTTCATGTTATGTAATTTATATTCTTAATTAGTTGGTAAATTTGACGTATAGTAGTGTGTTTGTTAATCTCTGCTGATTCGTCTAACTACCAGGCTTTTAGAAATTCTCTGGCAGTTTTGTTGTTTCATCTGTTTACAATTTCTACATTATCCCAATCAAAGTTCAATTTGCAAGTCAATAAAAATGATCAATAAAGAAGTAAATTAATGTTAAAAAATCACGATAATGGTTACCAGGAGATACATTTATAGTCATTCATGAAGCATTCAAGTAATTTGATTTCATACTAAATCTCGTGCTTAAGATGTCGTCTTGAAGGATGACGAAAGCTTTGTAATTAAATCAACCAGCTCAGAGAACACAATTCAATCGAAATCATTCATCTCAGCTACAAATCTTCTCCATTATTCCATACAGTATGTGTCCTGCTCGATTCTATAAATGGCAATTAAGAAAGGAAGTACAAATACATGATGCCATAAACTACTGATTGATTGAGATGAATAGTTGAGCACCACTCACATCAACCAGTAGAAGTAGTGGTAGTAGGGGATAACGCAGGTCGGGTGTGAGAAGAACTACTCCACGAAGACATTGCAAAGTGGTCCACTATGTCCTGAATTGGCAGAAGTTAGAATTAATGGGCCATTGGATCGGGTCCCAGTAGCTTAATGGTCTACGAGCTCGCTGACCTTGGAACCAGAAGGTCCTCGGTTAGAACCCCCTTTGGTGGATGCGTACTGCTGAAGAGTCCAAAACTAGGATGAAACATTTTTCCAGTACTCCCTGGTTTTCCAGTGGTTCTCTAACCAATGTCAGCTCATGATGAAATCCAGTAACCAATCAATCAAATCCCTGCAAACGAATACTTGAAAATGGATAACGGATAGTTTGAACTGATTTGGCTCTGTGAGTTTAATCACACCGCGTACCTCGCTCATGAACTCTGTCTGAAACGAGCGAAACCGGTATCCCGTGTTTAAATCACTTTGACCTGATTGGTAAGCTCGACCAGTTCATGCGGGTGGTATACCAATTCGCAGTATTTAGCGCTATCACTTGAAGATATTTTCATGTATGAAACCTTTCCAATATTCTTACACTTCTTTAGACAATCCCACATGAGTATACTAACCTTTCTACGTAAATTAAACTGCTTTATTCATGTTGGCCTCTTCAAGGTTGTTTGGGTTGTTCATTTGCTCGTATCTCTAGTCTCTAACTTTGTCCTATATTGAAGACGGCGGCCTGCTGAAATCACTGAGTTACCAGAGTTTCCATCCATAAAATTGCTGCTTAAACTCTTCTACATTTCTTATTGTCTTAATTATGCAATTGTATCAAATGGCCACTACATAAACCCGCATGCATAATTTAATTATCTTTCAACAAGACACTGAGCAATTCATGGAGGAAATGAGGGAGAAAAAACTTACATAATTGGTTCTCTCTTCATATGCAACAACACTACGTCACATGATATACTTCAGATAATTACTTTATATATAAATCATGTATGAAGAGGAAATATTTCGGAACTAATTACGCTGAAAATTTCTGTAATGTATGTCCACATATTGTCTGAAATAAATCTTTACTATTATTATTATTATTATTATCGAGAATCAGGAAGGCGAGAAACACATTCATCAACCTGAAACCAATCTCGAAATCTTCGTCACTCAACTCAGCAACAACAACAAAATTCGGATTTTCAATACAAACGTCAAGTCAGTCAGTTCTTCTATACGGATGGATCAGAAACTTGGCGTGTGTCACAAAGAATATTTCCAACAGCCTGTTGCAGACCTTAATCAACAACTGTCATCGCTGGCTCTATACTGAAGATCAGATAGCCGGAAAGAATCACCAACAAGAAACTATGGGAACAAACAAAACAAGAACCAATCGCTCAACAAATACGCAAGAGAAAGTGGAGATGGATTGGACAGTCGCTGAGGAGGCCGTTAGGTGACATCGCGCGTCAGGCCCTCAAGTAGAACCCGAAAGGGAAGCAGCGAATGTGACGTCCAAGGGTGACATGGAGGAGATCGTATGAAGAGGAGTTGAAACAGTATAGACTAACATGGATGCAAGTGAAAAGTACAGCAGAAGACAGAAGCAAGTGGAGACGTGTAGTTGAAGCCCTATGTTCCGCTAGGAACCCAAGGGAACAATAATAATATAATACTTATTATTGTTTAACCGATGTTAGTCAGTTAGTTAGTTATAAAGTTTATTTCAGAGCTAATAAAATTCGCACAAATCTATCAACTGAATGGTAACCTAATTTTGTTCATCTTAACAAACAAACACAACTTAGTGTCAAATAGTAAAACTGTCATCTTTAATTTATACACAAAAAGCAACCTTGTTGTTAGTGCATCGAATACGCATGAATCAGAGTTCAATAACACAATGAATATGTCAGTGAAAATAAAAGCTAATAAAAGAACTCCATTCCTCAGTAGAATGTAATAACTAACAACTAACACATTCATCCCCACAATGGCTCAGATTCATCTTCCCGTCAGTAAAATGGACCGAAATGTCTGGCCTCTGCTGACATGTCGGTCCCTTGTGAGGATGCATCGACAATATCTGAGGGTTAAATTGAAGTCGTTTGGTGGATGGTGACTACAATGGATACTGGGTTCAAGCCTCAGTGAGAACACCATCATCACTCACTGGAGAATGTAGGTACATCCAGATGAAGAGTCTCGAATAGGACGAAATGTACACCCTAGATTCCACTACTAGTCACCATCCACCAAATAATTAACAACGTTTATTTAAAAATTATACCGATAAAATTAAAAAATATGATAAAGCAAATAAACAAATCCAAACCTTAATTCCTGCATCACGTTCAGCTTCAGCAACTCCTATATCAGCGTCTCTTTTCACATTAGCAGTTTGTGCACGTCCCAAAGAATTTAAATATTCCACACGATCATAAACATCTTTGATAGTAAAACTTAATATTTCAATTCCCATACGTCCTACATCTGGTGCAGCTACTTCACGGACTAGTGCAGCAAACTGATCACGATCCTATAACAAAGAATGAGTTTAACAAACATTAATACATATACAAACTACAGAAACTGTAATTCAGTGATCTCACTTTGTTTTAACACGGTCTATAGGATATTAAAAAAGGTATGGATGTATTCTCATGTGTACATGTACCTAATTTAATAATTCCCTTTGTAGCATTGGTAACTCAATAGTCAGGGAAGAGACGCTTTTAAACGGATTTGTTATCAAACTATGCAGTCGTATGTATATATATATATATATATATATATATACATATATATATACATATATATATACATATATATATATAATTTTATGAGACTATCTAAATTGATCTCCAACCCAATTCCAAAGAAAATCGTCTGCATGAATTTGTGATTCAAAAGTGTCCAGCCTTAAGATACGCTCGAAAATCACTTTCCTAAGTCAATCAGAAAGATATTCTTAGCACCTAAACATCGATGATTCTTTCTCACCAGCCGTAAGTTGTTCTCCATCTCTTTAAAAGATAAATTCCGCCTTCATGTGCACCTATCAGTTCATCTGCTTCTGTGGAGCAAGATAAATCGGTCGTAGCCAGACAACGCTTTCCACAAATGGATATGAAAGCACTTTCCAACATGGCTTTACAAGACAGATAAAGCAGTATTAGAACATTTATTCTAGAACATACAATCGATATCTGTCATTCAACCGAACCCAACCATGATTTTAAAGTCACTTATGGAGTTCGTGCTAAACTACCGCGTTTTCTTCATTCCAAACTGCTGGAGACAATGGAGGTCTTGGTCATTCATGAATTCAAGACAAACCTTTGTGTAGAAAAGGAGTCTGTGTAATCCCTGTTTTTACCTTGGCCATAACGGGATAAACATTTATTAGTATTTCATTTTATTTATTATTTAATCTTTATACCTTCCCTTTTATTATTTCGACTGTTTTCGTCTTCATTTAAAACAGTTATCTGTATTATTACACTTGTCCCATTTATTATTATAATTTAATATATATTTTCCAAGTATTGGTTTTGTAGGGAATTTTGTTTGATTGGTTGGAGGATTTCATCATGAGCTGACATCAGTTAGAGAACCATTGGAAAACATGCAGGGAGTACTGGACAGCTGTTTCCTCCGTCCTAGTTTGGGACTCCTCATCAGTACGCACCCACCGCCAGAGTTCGAACCCAGGACCTTCTGGTTACAAGGCGAGCTCGTAGACCATTAAGCCACTGAGACCCGATCCAATGGCCAGCCTATGAATTCTAACTTCTGCTAATTCATGACACCGCGACCACATCCCAATGTCCTCTTTGATGAGCTACTGCCTCAACTTCAACCTGCTGCATCCTACTGGTCACGGCCACGCACTAGAACCCCAGGTTAACTGCCTGAATATGACCAGTCGCTAGTGAGCATCAGATTAATTCTTAAAGTATTGGTTTTATGGGGAATTTTGTTTGATTGGTTGGAGGATTTCATCATGAGCTGACATCAGTTAGAGAACCATTGGAAAACCTGCAGAGAGTACTGGACAGCCATTTTTCACGATATTAAAATCTACCTTATTAAACTTCTTATTATATTAAGTAATTTTTTATTTGTTTACTAATTCTGTTAATTTTACATCTATTTTCAAGATCTATACATCCCATGAATGTAACTTAGAAATATCACAAACAGCAAGACTAGCCGTCCCAAATAAGAAGTATATTTTAATATTAGCTATCAGAAAATGGAAATACATAATCCGAATAGCTGGGCATATCTTAATGTAAGCGTAGAACTTGGGCACTGTGGTAGAATGTAATTCCATATTAGATAAGTTTATTTTAATAATCACACAGTAATGCAGCGTTAACAAGTGGATGACAAGGTTTCGAGCACAAATTACTGCTTACAATCATATCATTTCTGTCACACGATTTCATAGTTTGTCTTATTTCCATTTTCTCTATCTCTCTTCATCTTCCCCTTCCTGTTTGTTGCCACTCTCCATATCTCCGGTATAGGCGTTGCGTCATTCCAATTTCACGTGTGCGGTGTTGAATCGATAAACAAAGATTCAGTGATTAGCGTCTCTGTTTCTCCACCTGACTATATTACTCTTTAATCCTCTCATCCTGTCCCACCCTATGTTGTGTGGTTACATGCAAGTGAATGCAGTGTAATGGTTGAGCTCTCTTTTCTAGGTTATTTAACTTAGTAGGGTGAATCACTCTAGGTTTGGCTAAATTCATACGTTCCAACAATCTACTTGACCCTGATCTACTAGTTTAACATATGTCATTGACCTCACAGTCATAAAATAGTATTTGGTGAATTATATTATTTTTTCCTAATTGGATCTAATGGGTCCTTAAGCCGACAAAGTGGGTATATCTTAGGCGAACAACCGATAGTGTGTCAAATGACAGTATATTTAGTTAAACAGGTCAGTTACAACAGTAAAAGTGAACACCGAATACTTAGTCCTATGTTATTGTACTCTGTTAGTCTATACAAATTACTTCGCATTATAATATTAAATCTTTTAGTCACTAAAAAAGGACTGTAAATATATAACTAAATAAATAAATAAGTCAAAAAGCTGACAGCTATTATATCTTCACAGAGTCTATAACAATTTCGCTCTTTTAATAAAATTAACACTGTTACAAAAATGATAACTACATAATTAACTATTTAATTCAATTTTAGATTTTTCCGTCAACTGATTGGATCGAAATGCTCAGTCTCAGGTTGACATGTCGGCTTCTTGTGCAGATGCTTCGACGATGTCTGGATATGTTATTAGAAATTATTTGGTGAATGGTGATTAGCAGTGGAATCCAGGATGCGCATTTCGTTCTATTTGTGACTCGTCATCTGGATGTACTTGCATTCCGCAGTGAGTGATGGTGTTCTCACCGGGGCTCGAACCGAGTGCCCATAGCTTCAAACGCCAAAGCGTTATCCACTAGACCACTTGGGCCACAAGAGCCATCTGTTGTGCAACGGGTCATACTAAGAATTTAATTCCACTGGATTCCACTGCTAGTCACCATCCACTAATTTACATAATTAATGATTTGGAAACTTACACGATAGATTGCTTCCACTGTTAAAGTTCCTAAAATAGCTCTTAAATGTCCTTCCATTGTTTGAAGGACAGTATTTTGTATATCACGTTGTTTCTTTCCCAAAAACTGTTGACAAGCTGCTTCGAGTAGTTTATCGTCTCGCATCACCTTTACTTGGGCAACACCTTTTTATAACGGGCAATATTGTAAGATAAACAAAAAGCAATCCCATTTACCTGTAACCGTTAAAGGAACTCCTTCTGATGTTTCAACATTTTCACACACTGGATTTAAAGTCATTACCCCGAGTGAAATTCTGATGGATTAGAAATAATTTTTGGGGAGGAGAAAAAACGCTTACTTTTGAACTTCGGTGACAAGCCACCAAGCCCACCCCCATCCACCAATTATTGTACGAACTTTTGCAGCACCACAACATCCTCCTATTAAAGTATTTAGAAACAATAGAGAAAATTTAATCACTCTTGGTTTAATATATTTTTATATATCTGGAAAGACAACAAGAGTATCAGGGTAAGGAGCAGTCAGTCAGTGAAGGCGCAAATATAATCACTTTTTTACTGCTCACTATCATAAATGCATAAAAGTTTAACTAATCAGTTAAGTAGAGCTAAAAGTATTATATGAGCCTAATTGACTACAATATACATTCTGAATTTAAAGGAATTCTAACTCCATCTCTAAAACAACTAATGTATAGGTCAAGGGGAATTCAGTCGCTCTTTATGTACTTTTGAAAACAATATATAAATATATACAATATTTTAGCCAGCTAACCATTTTTCGCACTATGAAACAAATAAATTATGCCCTTATTTTAATATACAAAATGTCATTTTGTACATTTGACAATTCTCAATTATGCCATTTTTATGTAAGGTATTCAAGTCTACCATAGCTCAAAAATAAAAAAACCTTTTGCAAGTATAACTGAAGTTTATCCGATGCATTTTCTGATCCAATCTTGTTCATAAGAGAGATATGAGTAACCCTTCTACTCTTTAAAATACAGTTAAGTTGTTTTTGATCAAAAGGTGTGGCCAATATCCTGCTATTCTTTGAATCTCTACTACAAAAATTTACCAGCTATTACGAAAGAAAATTGGTGACGATATCCACACCTAGATCACTAAATCCTAATGTAACAATGTACTACACAGTTTGAGGAAAAATTTGAAGCATTCATGTAAGTAAACCATCTAAAAAGTGAATAAACTAGATATTAAAGAAGTAGGTTTAAATCCTTAAGACTGAATGCTTGTGAACACGATTTTACTAGTCACAAAAGATAATTTTATCACCAGCATTTCATAGCGACAGATAGCCTCCATCTTTCAAATTTGATTGGTTGTTGTTACTGCTTAGTACTAATACGGTATGTAATCTTCTGAGTTTGTTAATCTACCATTGGCAGCAGTTCCTAAGAAAAGTGTCGGCCAGCTTATAATTATGCAGCTTTTGCTCCCCCTTGTGTTTTATACTCCGCTGAATCTTGCATCGAACAGTCAAAGAGAGACCGAAGAAAAAACTAGGCTTTGCCTACACATGAAATACCTGTTACAGGTAAAATAAGCTGAGTGATATCATTGGTGAATCGTTTAGACAATGTTACTATATGTGCGAAATTGGTGCTGGATTTGAAAATACTGTTATCTCAACAGAGTTGTAAGACACGATCACCATCATCGATTCATGGACAAGAGACCACACGGAAATGTCGAATATTATTTCGTGATTGGCCTTAATTCCCTACTTCAGCATTAAGATCGCGCACTAAAATGACCATGTCTGTGTCTTCAGATTTTCAGTAAGCCGAATAGCTTTTTATACGGCTTATTCTTTAATTCATATCAACTGTAGACAACAGGTTATGGGCGGAGGTTGTGAAAAGAAAAAAACAAAATGCACAGTGAGCAGTCATGATGACAGGGACTTTATCGAATACTAGCACATTACAGGCGAAACGATATCAAGAGGCAACGAAAGTAGTGCAGGAAATACAAAAGTGAGTTTCGCAGGCTGGACGAAATGGACGAGTGATTACAATGTCCTACGTGTGTATGCGAAAAACGCGCTGGAATTCGCAGCTTCACAGAAATTAAATGGGCAGTAGGGCATGGGCGTCCACTAAATGATCGGCCAAGTGATTTCATGGAGATCAATGAAAATGTCCGCACTTTCAATGTCAATAAAAAAACACCTCTGGGATAATTTAGCCGACTCTAGACTATCATACCGACAGTTTCAAACTACAGGACTTTAAAATCCCGAAAACTCCAGACAAACGAACGACAATTTTAAACACATTTGAAATTGACGGTCAGTCACTACCATCTAATCGTGTTTTCATTTGGTTTGGTCACAAACAACATCCTCTAAGCAACAATTACTCTTCGACGAAAAACGCCTCTATCAACGTAGAAATTATTTCTCAACAGCTTCGATCAGTGGTCAAAGTGCTTGCCATTCTCACTTACTGCTGGATATTTGACCCCAACAGTATTCGTTATGCTCCTTCACTACACACGTATACAGCCACAAACACAATAGATTTCAGCAAATGTAATGCCTTAACTTAGTCACTATCGAAACTGAAGAACTGAAAACAGATCATGAGGCTTTTATCTAGTTAGAATCTGACAATACACCCGAAAATATCAACACACGTGTGCTTTGAGATATTAAATGTGTGGAAAATATTTCCATTACTAGCAACCATAGCAGCATAAATCATTTAATTGCCACAATCGAAAATTGGCCGTGTTATACAAGCTTATTATGTCAAAATCAATTACCAGAAATGACTAGGGCTTCACTAGGACCAACCGTATGTATATTTCCCATCTAGTCAATTCAAAAAGGTGCGGAAACTGAACAAGGCGTTTGAGAATATGTTTCGTGTGGAAAAACAAAATATAGACAACATGAACTCTTCGCAGAACTTCTGAAGGTAGTTTCTGTCATTCATACTTGTAAGACATGTCGAGATGAAGATAAGTTTGAGTGAGTAGCTAAGGGTTTGGACGTTACTGCACTTAATATTGGTGAATATTAGTGGAAGTGCTCATAATTGTAGACTGTATGCAAAAAAGCACACAGTCAGGGAAAGTGGAAGTTGAAGACTTTGTTCAGAAGACAGAATGTGTCTCCATGCTAAAAATCTGAATTTTGATGTCCACAAACAGCATTTTAAGGATCAGCACTGTCTGTTGTCTGCTTATTCTTGCTTAGCTCTCCTCTGGATAGCAGTGTCAGGATGTCTCAAGAGATGTTTGCCCATGTTCCCCGTATTGCACATTTTATTGGTCTATTCCGGGTTGATGGGGGTCTTCCGGTGATTCAACTAGTTTCTGAATGTATTCGTGTGCTAAACGAAAGCCTGCCTTATCATTAGAAAAACTTGGTCAACAGTTTATTTAATATTCTTGGTTCCTTTAATTCCTAGAGGAACATACGGCGTCCTCTGCACGTCTCCATTGCCTTCGGTTTCCTGCCAATATTTTCACCTGCCACCAAGTCTGCTCGCGTGCTTTCATCTCCTCTTCACATGAACTCCTCCATGTCACCCTCGCGCTGACAACCGGCTTGCCGCTTTCCTTTCGGGTTGCACTCGACAGCCTGCAGCGTCGTCATTTGATGGTTTGTTTTCTCAGAGTATGGCCAATCCACCTCCATTTCCTTCTTCATATTTCTAAAACACCTGGTTCCTGGTTGGTTCGCTCATTGCCAGAGATCCCTTCCTTTTGCTGATCATTTCTGGCCGGCCATCTGACCTTGTGCAAAGTATTGAGCGAAGACACCTGTAGATGGAGGTCTGTAGCTTGTTCGAAGTGCACTTCATGATGCGGCGGCAAGTCTTTGATCCACAAAACAGCACCGAATTCCCATCGCAGTTGAAAATCCGGATCTTAATTTTCATGCTGAGTGCTGATGACCTGCAAAACAGACTTCAGAGAAATGAAACCTTGCCTTGCTTTCCGGATCCTCGCTTTGATATCCTCATCGGTTCCGTCCGCCTGAAGCGATGCTTCTCAGGTAGGTAGATGAGGGAGGTTGCTTCTTTCAGATTTCTCCCATTTATTCTGATTGTTGTCTGTTGTTGTTGCCTTTGGTGTTGGCCAGGAATCTTCATCACCTCTGTTTTCTCTATGTTCACCTGAAGTCCTTGCTATCTTTGATGCTTCTTCTGCCAACTTGTTGCTTTTCACTTGCATATATATATTCCAGTTTGTGGGAAAGCAGATATATGTTATCGGAGAAATCCAGATCCTCAAAGATTTTGCGTGGGTCCATTTTATGCCTGCTTCCTCGCTGCCCGCTGTCCGTCGCATTATCAAGTCTACAGCAATCAGGAAAATCATTGGAGACAGTAGTCAGCCTTATATTACTCCTGTCTTCACTTCGAAGGACACTGTGAGTTTCCCGTTGTGGATTACTTGGCATGTAGCATTGTCGTACAGCTGTTGGATGAGATGTATAATTGTTGGCGGCACCCGTAATAGCGAAGTAGATGCTGAATCACTCCTCGATCGACGCTGTCAAAGGCCTTTTCAAAGTCGATGAAGTTGAGATAGAGAGGTGACTACCATTCCAAGCTCCGTTCAATGGTGATCCGTATTGTTGCTATTTGATCAACTCATAACTTGTTTCTCCTGTGTCCATCCTGTTCCAGTCGAAGTTTCTCATCCAGGGCATGTTTGATTCTCTCCAGGATGATGCGGCGTAGTATTTTGCTTGGGATGGACAGGAGCATAATTCCGCACCAGTTCTTGCATTGACTTAAGTCTCCTTTCTTTGGTAGTTTGAATAAGTAGCCTTTCTTCCAATCCTCGGGTACATTGCCCTCCTTCCACACCTTCTCCAGTAGTGGTGTCATCAAGTCCGCTGATGTCTCGGGGTCCATTTTAAACGCTTCTGCTGAGATTCCATCTGGTCCTGCTGCTTTTCCAGCTTTTAGCATCTTGATTGCCTTCAGGACTTCTGATTTCGTCGGGGGGTTGGTGTCCACTGGTAGCACTGCTTCCATTGTTAATAATATTGGGCACTTTGTAAGTGGTGGTCGATCAGGAAGTCTTTTGAAGTGTTCAGCCCAGCGTTTCCTTTGCTCCACCTCTTTGATAATTAACTCTCCATTGTCGTCTTTCACTGGCTTAAATTGTGTTGATCTCCTCCCCGATAGGAACCTAGTTGTTTGGTAGAGTACTCCCTATAGAATGTCCTTTTCCTGCACTGCAGCACTTGCCATAGCTTCATAGTATTTTATTTTGTCTTCCCTGTCACTTTAGTTTACTCTTTTGTTAAGTGTACTGTAGCTTGTTTTCAACTCCTGTTTTTGTTGCTTGTCGGTGCACTGAAAAATCTTTTGTTTCACCATCCCTCTCTCTTCTATCAGTCTCCAGGTATCCGTAGTGAGCCACTGTTTGTCCTGTCTCTTCTTTCTGCCTAGAACTTCCATGCAGGTTTGACTCCACATGGCTTTCAGGCTATTCCAGTGCTTTTGGACGCCAGTCTCTTCGTTAGTGTTGATTTGTGTCTCCGCCTTTTTCCTTATGTTTGCAGTGAAGATGTCCTTTGTTGCCTGATCCTTCAGTTTTGAACATTGAACTTGGTTTGTGTTCTTTCTACAGCTCCTGTTTCTTAGAAAAGTTTAAATTTGATTCAGAGTGCTCCTTGTACGCGATAATGGTCTGAGCCAACATCTGCTCCTCTTCTTGCTTTTGTGTTCAGTAGGCTACGCCGCCACTTCCTCGAGATTGTGATGAAGTCAATTTGGTTTTTGGTTCGCCCATCTGGTGACACCCATGTAGCCTTGTGGATATCCTTTTGTTTGTATACGCTGCCACCAATCACTAGTTCATTGAAGGCGCAGAAGTCGGCGAAGAGTTCTCCATTTTCATTCATCTCTCCCAGAGCTTCTTTACCCATGATGAGTTCCCTTCCTCTGTGGCCTGGTCCCATTTTGGCTCATGTCTGATTTCTCCCATTAGTATTTTAATGCCAGCGACTAGAGTATTGTCCATTGTTGCCTGTAGTTTTCTGTAGAGTTCTTCTTTCATTTTGACGTCTGCGTTGTTTGTGGGTGCACAGCATTGTATAACTGACACTATTGTTCTTTTGGAGTTGAACCTGGCCATCATTATCCTGGGTGCGATTGCCTTCCATTGTCTCGGCGCCTTCGTTCCCGTTGGTGATATCATAATAGCCACACCCTCGGTGTGCACGTGGTTGTCTTCTGGTTGACCGGAGTAGATATATATTTATTTATTCCTGTTTATGCAGGAACATACCAATTGTACAGGCATGGATAAGTTATTATATAAATTACACATGCTTCGATGTATGTTGAATTTACAGTTTGTTTGTTCTTTCTGACATTAGAGTCAGTCGGAACAGTCTGCAAAATAGTCTGTCTGTGTAACACATAAAGAGATTTAGAAATATTGTCTTCGCATTAACAAAAAACTCAGACATCAGATGAATGTAATGCAAATATCTGGGAAAAATAAAGCTTGAAGTCAATTCTCCTATATAACTTTGTTGTGAACAGCATCCTTGACTGAAAGTTTATTGATGTATTATTTTGATTCAATAATGTATTTATTCCAAATTTGATCTTTGATGCGAAAATTAGATAAGGTCATGTTAGATTGTTTTACTGCGTCAAATGGGGCCGAGGTCGATTCTAGAACTATCCATTTGCTCCATTTGCGTCAGCATGGCAGACTGTACATGTAAGTTGAGTAATACATTGAAAACTGCTTGTAAACCAGTTGTTTCTTTATTTCAGATCAAGAATACTGCTTGTACAGAATGTAAGCCAGCGTTTTCAAATGGTAGCATCGGATCGTTCATGGAATTTGAGTTTGAATTTACAGAAATGGTCATTTCAGTTTAGATGTTGGGTTGTTCGACCTCGACCAGGAGGTATATAGAAGAGTAATCTCAGCATCAGAATAGCAGAAAGATAAAGTATGTAAAAATGAACAGGACGTTAATATTTTATGTATATATAAATGTTTATAAATGTATATCATTGTATAGTAAACATTACCTATAATCTAGTTGTTCTTTCATGTATTTTTGCAAAGTCTTAAGGTTTATTTAGTGTCATATATTTAGTAATGAGTCTAGGCGTTATAGTGTTCTAATAGCTCATGCGTTTTAGAAATAAGTGGTGCGGTGTGATTGGCATAGTCATTGGGATGAAACAGTTTATATAGCAAGCGTTTGAAGGTTATAATAGAGTGACAAGTCCTTATTTCTAGGGGTAAACTGTTCCAGATCTTAGAGTACATGACTATGAAGAAGTTTGCACGGAGTGCTGTCTTACAGTTTTTCCTGTGCTCGTTTGGTTGCGAAGGTTGTAAGAGCCTTTTGGTGAGAACTGTATCTCCTTGCTGTCTGAGAATGATATTTTATGCAAGACTTTAAAGAAGAATGTTAGGTTAATGCTCAGTTGTCTCATCCAGAGTGGGTCGATACCTAGAGTTATACACCTTGATGTGTAGTCCTTTCCGCAGTCAAATCCTAGTAGTTTAGACGTGAAGTATCGTTGGACACTTTCTATTTTAAGTTTGTCACTTACGGGAGTGCTGCTGAGAATAAATGGGCAATATTCAAGTAGTGGTCTGACACAAGTTTTATATAATATAATTTTCGCTTCGTAGCTGTGGAAATTCCTGAGTATGCATCCTAAGAGCATCCTCGATTTACGCGTCTGTGTAGCCACTTGCTCAGAAAATTTCAAGTCACTAGAGTACCTGAGTCCTAGGTCAACAACACTTTGGAGTTTAGGCAAGTCAAGAGATTCAAGTACCAGTTTGATAATAATAATATATATTTCCTATCAATGTAGGACACACCAGTTGTACAGGCATGGATAAGTATTATTTAAATTACAT